ATACATTCGGCAGACAGCTGGATCCAAAGGTCTTCAGTTCAGGGTGGAGGTTCGGTCTAGGTAGAGAAACACATTTAAGAGGTATCAGCATATTGATGGTATTTGAAGCCATAATACTAGTTGAGATCATTTAGGGAAAGAGTATTAATGGGGAAGAGAATAAGTTCAAGGGCTAAGCCCTGGGGCATTTCATGATTTAGAGCTTAGGGACCAGAGAGGCTCCAGTAAAGAACACAGAGGAGTAGAGTAGGCAGTGAAGTAGGAGAAAAACCAGGAGAGTGCAGTATCTGGGAAGCCAAATAAAAATGTTTCAAAGAGAATGGTCACCTCTGTCAAATGCTGCTGACAGCTTGAAAGAATGAAGACTGAGAATTGACCAACAAATTTGCAATGTGAAGGTCATTGGTGACTGAGCATTTTCAGAGGAATGATGAGGATGCAAGCTCTACAGAGTAGATCAAGAGGGGATAGGAGGAGGGGAAAAATAGAAATCACAAACTTGGACAACTTTTGAAAATTTTTTTAAATGAAGGGGAGCATAAGTAAGTTAGTTCTCTTTTTCTTCTCACCCAGTGCCTCCCCACTCACATCTGCAGACTGTGACACTTCATCATTACCAAACTGATGACTTACAGAGAAGTCATCTCTGAGGCCCTTACATTTCAGGGTTCTCAGAAAAACATTTGACCAATAGCCAATCATAGACCTGTTTTCATCTCTGCCTTTTCCTGAGTAATGGGCTGCTTATCTACCCAGTACCTGGCCCTACTAACCCAGGGCACCCCTTGAACGTCAACCCCTTGACAACCTTCCTAAACTCCCAGACTGGGTCAGGTATCTGTTTTATGATCATAACATCCTGCACTTTGCTTTATGGAACGTATAACAGTTTGTATTTATACATATTTGTTTGTCTGATTATTTTATTTATGCTTATCTTTTCTAGTAGACTGTGCTAAGAGAATGGACTCTGGAGTCGGACTGCCAAGGTCCAAATCCTGGTCACATATACTAACTGGGTGACCTTGGGCAAATAACTTAGCCACTCTGAGACACTGTTTCTTCATCTGTAAAATTGGGGTTAAACTAGTATTCACCTCGTATAATTTTGTGAGGCTAATACTACATGTAAATGTGCCTTACACTCAATAAATCTTAAAATCATTGTGAACATATTAAAGTAGAAAATACATATTTTAAAACATATATCCAAAATAAATCATAATTAACCTCTTTCTTTCCACTTTTACTCTTCCCTCCTTCCACCCCAGCTTGGCCTTACTGTGTTCTATATTAGCCACATTTCTTTTTTTACCTTTATTATACTTGATTGCAAAACCCACTGTCTTATTAAATTTACCAACTGGTAGAATTTTTTTTAATGGAAATTATCTAAAATGTTAAAAGAAATTCCACTGTTATTTTCTTTCCACAAGATAGGAGCTTCTTTCTCATTTATCTGGAATGCCTTCTAAGTAAAAGGCACTGACTGAACTATTGCTTGATAACAAGTCACCCCTAAACCTAGTATCTTAAACCAGTGATTTATTATGGTATATTTTGGTTTTCTGGGTAAATTGGGCTCATTTGAATAGTTCTTGTTTGGTTTCTCTCAGGCAAATGGAGGCTGAGGCTGCAGATGTCTGTCAGCTTGAACGTGCTGGATGTCAAATGCGGTTTCTTCACTCATGTTTGGTTGCTCAACTGGAGTGGATGAAACAGCTTGGGGCTGGCTTGACAGCTCTCTTTCTTCTTTCTCTCTCTCTCTCTCCCTCTCCATAGGCTTCCCCATTTGGTAGCTCAGGATTTTTTTTTTTTTTTGAGTTCATAATAGATTACATCATTGTGAAATTTCAGTTGTACATTATTTCTTGTCTGTCACCATATAAGTGCTCCCCATCCCCCCCATGCCTCTGTGCCCATGCCCCAAACCTCTTCCCCTGGTAACCACTGAACTATTCTCTTTGTCCATGTGTTTGTTTATCTTCCACATATGAGTGAAATCATATGCTGTTTGTCTTTCTCAGTCTGGCTTATTTCACTTCACATAACACCCTTCAGGTCCATCCATGTTGTTGCAAATGGGATGATTTTGTCTTTTTTATGGCTGAGTAGTATTCTATTGTATATATATAGATACCACATCTTCTTTATCCAATCATCAGTCGATGGGCACTTGGATTGCTTCTATTTCTTGGCTATTGTGAATAGTGCTGCAGTGAACATAGGGGTACATGGGTCACTTTGGATTATTGATTTCAAGTTGTTTGGGTAGATACCCAGTAGTGGGATAGCTGAGTCATATGGTATTTCTACTTTTACTTTTTTGAGAAATCTCCATACTGTTTTCCATAGTGGCTGCACCAGTTTGCATTCCCACCAGCAGTATATGAGGGTTCCCTTTTCTCCACAACCTCTCCAACATTTGTTATTTTCAGTCTTAGTGATCATAGCCATTTTAACAGGTGTAAGGTAGTATCTTAGTGTAGTTTTGATTTGCATTTCCCTATGATTAGTGGTGTTGAACATCTTTTCATGTTCTTATTGGCCATCTGTGTATCTTCTTTGGAAAAATGTCTATTCATATCTTTTGCCCATTTTTTGATTGGGCTGTTTTTCTGTCGTTCAGTTGTGTGAGTTCTTTATACATAATGGAGATTAACCCCTTGTAGGATATATGATTTGAAAATATTTTCTTCCAATTAGTGGATTGTCTTTTTGTTTTGATCCTAGTTTCTTTTGCCTTACAGAAGCTCTTTAGTCTGATGAAGTCCCACTTGTTTATTTTTTCTTTTGTTTCTCTTATCTGAGAAGACATGGTATTTGAAAATATTCTTTTAAGTTCAGTGTCAAAGAGTGTACTTCCTATATTTTGTTCCAGAAGTTTTATGGTTTCAGGACTTATCTTCAAGTCTTTGATATATTTTGAGTTTATTTTTGTGTATGGTGTAAGATAATGGTCTACAATCATTCTTTTGCAAGTGGTTGTCTAGATTTCCCAACACCATTTATTGAAGAGACTATCTTTTGTCCATTGTATGTTCTTGGCACATTTGTCAAAGATAAGCTGTCCATAGATGTGTGGTTTTATTTCTGGGCTTTCTATTCTGTTCCATTGATCTGTGTGCCTGTTTTTGTACCAGTACCATGCTGTTTTGATTACTATGGCTTTGTAGTACATTTTGAAGTCAGGGATTGTGATGCCTCCAGCTTTGTTCTTTTTTCTCAGGATTGCTTTAGCAATCTGGGGTCTTTGGTTGCCCCATATTAATTTTAGGATTCTTTGTTCTATTTCCATGAAGAACGGCATTAGGATTCTGATTGGGATTGCATTGAATCTGTAGATTGCTTTGGGCAATATGGACATTTTAGCTATGTTTATTCTTCTGATCCATGCGCATGGAATCTCTTTCCATTTCTCTATGTCATCATCTATTTCTTTCAATAAAGTCTTATAGTTTTCATTGTATAAGTCCTTCACCTCCTTGGTTAAATTTATTCCTAGATATTTTTGTTGTTGTTGTTGAGATTGTAAATGGAATTGTATTTTTGAGTTCTCTTTCTGTAAGTTTGTTATTAGAGTATAGAAATGCAGCTGATTTTTGTGAGTTGATTTTGTATCCTGCAACTTTACTGTAGTTGTCGATTATTTCTAATAGTTTTCCAGTGGATTCTTTAGAGTTTTCTATATAAGGTCATGTCATCTGCAAACAGTGAGAGTTTCACTTCTTCATTTCCTATTTGGATTCTTTTTATTCCTTTCTCTTGCCTAATTGCTCTGGCCAAAACCTCCAGTACTATGGTGAATAAGAGTGGTGATAGTGGGCACCCTTGTCTTGTTCCTGTTCTCAGAGGGATGGCGTTCAGTTTTTCCCCACTGAATATAATGTTGGCTGTGGGTTTGTCATATATGGCCTTTATTATGTTGAGGCAATTTCCTTCTATCCCCATTTTGTTAAGAGTTTCTATCATAAATGGCTGTTGGATCTTGTCAAATGCTTTCTCTGCATCTATTGAGATGATCACGTGGTTTTTATTCCTCATTTTGTTAATGTTTTGTTATCACATTGATTGATTTGCAGATGTTGAACAATCCCTGTGTGCCTGGTATAAATTCCACTTGATCATAGTGTATGACCTTTTTGATGTACTGCTGTATTTGGGTTGCCAATATTTTGTTGAGGAGTTTTGCATCTATGTTCATCAGTGATATTGGCTTGTAGTTTTCCTTTTTTGTGTTGTCCTTGTCAGGCTTTGATATCAGAGTGACGTTGGCCTCGTAGAATGTGTTAGGAAACGTTCTGCTTTCCCTAAGTTTTTAGAATAGCTTCAGAAGGATAAGTAGTAAATCCTCTTTGAAAGTTTGGTAGAATTCTCCAGGGAAGCCATCCGGTCAGGCTTTTTAATAGCAAGTGGATCTCAGTGTATTCAGACTTCTTACCCAATGGCTACTTTTCCCAGAACAAGTACTGTAAGAGACCCAGGTGGAAACTGCAAGGCTTCTTATGACCTTGCCTCAGAGGTCACACAGCGTCACTTCTGCTGCATTTCATTAGTCAAAAGCAAGTCAGAGGACCAGCTCAGATTCCAGTGGAAAGGAATACACAAGAGGATAAATTCTGAAAGGCATGGTTAATTGGTGGGTCATCTTTGAGGACGAGCTACCACCATGAACCTATAAACATACACAACAAAACCACAAAGCCTCTGCTGTTAAGAAGCTTATTGTATAGTATACTATACTATAAGGCAGAGTTTCTTAACTTTGGCACTATTGACTTTTAAAAAATTAAATACATTTTATTTCTTAGAACAGTCTTAGATTTATAGAAACATTGCCAAGATAGTACAGAGAGTTCCCATATTATCCCTCACTCAGTTTCCCCTGTTAATAACATCTTGCATTAGGATGGTACATTTGTTACAATTAATAAACCCATCAATTGATACATTATTATTAACTAAAGTCCATACTCTATTCATATTTTCTTAGTTTTTACCTAAAGTCCTTTTTCTGTTCAAGGGTCTCATCCAAGATACCATATTATTTTTAGTGTTCATTTCTCCTTAGGCTCTTCTTGGTTATGACAGTTTCTCAGACTTTTCCTATTTTTGATGGCCCTGACAGTTTTGAGGAGTCTTGGTTAGGTGTTTTGTAGAATGTCCCTGTATTGGAATTTGTCTGATTGTTTTTGTCATAATTAGGTTGGGATTAGAACACATACATGATCAACGTGATTTATCATTGTTGATGTTAACCTTGACCACCTGGCTGAGGTAGTGTTAGGTCAGGTTTCTTCACTGTGAAGTTACTCTCAGCACCCCCCCACCCCCTACCCCACTAAGGAAGTTACTATGAGAAGCCCACGCTTAAGGAGTGGAGAGTTATGCTCCATGTCCTTGAGGGAGGATGATCTACATAAATTTTTCGGAATTTTTCTGCAAAGAAGATTTGTCTCTTCTCCACTTATTTGTTTTTCAATAATTTAATTATATCAGTATGGAGACATGGGTATTTATTATACTTTGGGTTATAACCCAATACTACTTTGTGTATTTGTTCCTCAAATAGTTCCAACTTTAGCCATTGGGAGCTCTTTCAGATGGTTCCTGTCTCCCTCTGACATATCCCCATCAATGTTTTTTGTTTTTTGAGCACTTCCTACTTTGTAGCACTACAAGATGCTCTAGGATCACCTTGTATATCCCCTGCCCTAGAATCAGCCTTTTGTTCAAGGACTCCTGGTTTCTTTCATTGGAAAACAAGATCTGGGTGCTAGTTGTGCTCTTGATACACTATTGACATTTTGGGCCCGATAATTCTTTGTTGTGGAGAGGTGTCCTGTGTATTGTTTAACAGTGTCCCTTGCTTCTGCCTATTAGATGCCAATAACAACCCTCCTTCTCCAGCTGTGAAAATCAATAATGTCTCCAGATATTGTCAAATGTCCCCTAGGGGCAAAATGGCCCCTGGTTGAGAACCACTGGTATAGAGACAGACCTGCTGAAAATTACAATGATATAATATAATGGAGAGCAGAGGGAGAATTGTGGAAGAAGCCTCTGAGCCTGTTTGCAGATAGATATTGGGAAGGATTCACAGAGGAGGTACCATTTGGACTGAGAATTTATTTGCTATTTTTTGAGCAATTATCATGAGTCAGACAAAATGTAATGTTTTATTTTCATCATCTCATATAATCCCAAACTTAAAAAGGAGGTATTTGGCAAGTGAAGAAACTAAAGTTTAAAGGGACAAAGTTTCTTGCTTAGAGTGCCTGAGCTCTTCTTGAAAGATCTAACCAGCCATGTGGATGGAGAGCTTTGAGAGTCCTGACATCTGTTCACACTGCTCAAATCAAGGCTATTTCAACCACGCCTTTGTTTATAAAAGTGCAATACCATCTCATTTTAAATTATTTTTTCCCATTGAATTCTAGGTTCTTGAGAGCAGGAATCATGCAGTGTTCATCTTATATCTCCTTTCTAGCATGGTGCTTGCCATGTTACAGGTATTTGATAACTGTTTAATGAGTTAGTTAATATTAGTCCATTCCATCAAATTCCCCACTCACAGATTACAGAATTAACTCATACTTCCTCCTGGTCAAATCTCTATCCTACCAGCACTTCTGGTGGAGGGCTTGCTGCCTGGCACATCAGCCAACCTCTTTGCAGTCTTTGGTCCCTCTGTCTCATTGTTTTACTCTCACCACCCCAAAAGGAATAGTTGGCTGGTGTCAGTGACATCCTCAAACTGATTATAGCCAGTAGCATTTTGCCATGGGTTAGAGCTGCAAAAGGTATTCTCTAAGGAAGGAAAAAAATGCTACATCTCTGATATTAAAATGCAGATGTATTGCTGCTGGTTTCCACATGTAATGCCAATTATCTACTTTTGACAATTCCTTTGTCCCATGTGATTCTTCTATCATTTAAGGACAAATTTTACACAGACCATGAAAGATTTTTTTTTTTTTCTTTTTTCCTTCTTTCCAAATCCTTCACATTCTCACCCCAGTTTCCTTTTTTGAGGGGAGGGAGGAGGGTCTTTCTTCTTGTTTAGTAGACAAAAAGAGGGGAAAAAATACCCTGGTTTTTTTTGTTCCTTTTCTTTTTCCTATAACTTCTGGATCTGTTTTGCAGTTGCCATGAAATTTTAAGTCTATTGAATTAGAAGTTGCTCTCTCTGGTTTCAAGACTCTCTTTCTTCCTTGCCTTTGCTAAAATTCTGGTCTAATTAAAAAAACAGTAGATCATAGTTAAATAAAACTGTACCCAGGATAACCCTAATTTCCATATGCAGATTTATCTGCACTGACAGCCACCCCCCCCCTTACACACTCTCTCTCTCTCTCTCTCTCTCTCTCTCTCTCTCTCTCTCTCTCTCTCTCTCTCTCTCGCTCTCTCATTCTCCTTTCCCTCCTCTCCATCTCCCATTGCATTGTGTCTGACTGATTTTCAGAGCACCTTCGCTGTTTCCCCCTTCTCTTTCCCTTTCTGTAAAATATCTAGACAGGAAGGAGGTGGCTGCAGAGGCTGAACAAACAATCTCATATTCTGCCTGCAATGTCATCGTTTCTTTCCCCCATTTTAGGGGGCTGAAGTTGCCCAGGAAGGGGATGCAGAGGAGCTGGAAAGGAAGGGGGGAGCTCTCCAGTGGCAGCTGCGGTCAGGGGCAGGGACTGCCGCCAGATGTGCCTGCCTCTCTGGACTTTGATGCGAAAGGGGCAGCAGGAGGAAATATTGGGAGACAAAAGCCCCGGTTTAAATGATCATTTTCTTTATTTAACATGGCAGCAGACACTCTGCGTAAGATCATCATGCCGAACATAAACTGGACTTTCCCACTTGCCTGGCAGGAGTGAGACAGATCACTGTGTGCTAAATGAGCATCTGAGGTAAGACCCACTGTTACAGATACTTGATTTTTTTCCTAATCATTTAATGTTCTTAAATATGTGTTTCAATCTCAGTCACAAACAGTATAGTGGGGGCAAATCTGTGTTAATCTGCATGTAAAGAACCAAGAAAAAGAAGAGGTATAATATATTCAACTCAATTTGAGGAGGTTAGTTACTTTGTCAATTCTGTGTGTTCTGTTTGGTTTTTAGGAAAAATATTTCGTTTAAGAATAGACTAGTGTCATCATAATCCACCGCTGGTGATAATACTGATGTTCAGACTCTTAAAAAAAACTTTGCACAAAGACAGTAAGCTACAGATGCATGTGCTGTATTTTTAGCTCGCATACAAATATTAGAACTCTTATTAAAATGATAGGGTTTTTTTTTTAGTAGAGAAGGAATGAATGCTGCATAATTAAGTACAGTATTTAATTTGGCTGTTGTGAAGCAAAAGAATAAGGTAATAATTTTTATTGTACTAATCAGTCTCAAGATGTTCTCTGTGTTAATTGGGTTAAAAAAATTGCAGTACTTATTAGAAATTCTAATTTCACAATGCAGCGCTGACAATAAGCTCAGCCAGTGAATTATTCACATCTTTAATTTGCTCACTTAATGACAGTGTTCTGTAATCAGAGTGCAGAGACTGCTGCCTATGCATTATGTATGATGCTCAGGACTTAAATGCAGGACATTATGAAGCTCTCAGTGGTTCAGTAATTAGTTTTCCACAAGACAGGATTTAGATATTCACAGATAAAAGTCCACAGTTGGATAATGCTAAGGTTGCAACACAAAATAACAAAGGAAAGGAAGCTCAAAGTTTAGACTGAAACTTTGTCTCTCCAGCCTTGTCCACTGTGGAAACAGAATCATGCCACCTGAAATAGTTGCCTAGCTCTGATCACATGTTTGAAAACTGTTTTTGAACAAAGTTGCAGCAGGCAAGGCATTTGAACAATTTCGGTGGACCAGAGGGGAAAGATAAAACCTTTTTAATTAGTGTTCACAGAAACCCTGCAATATATCCTCCTAATAAGTCTGTAGTATGCATAGCAGGCATTCTCAATGTGCTTTGTAACTTAGTTAGTGCAAATGCAAATCAGGTTACAGTAGTGTTTGGCTGTAATTGTGTTTGTAAAAGGGTTACATGCCCAAATGGAGATTGAACTTGCTCATGGTTTTGTTCCAGTTGCTTCTGAGGGAAGGTTTGAAAATCAAATGAGATATTAAGTGAATCTGGGCATGAAAGGAAGTAGATCTGAATTGTCAGTGCAACTTTGAAATTTCTTACACTTGTCAGTTCAGAGTTGTCAGTTTTTCTTTAATGCTTCTAAGTATTGTTCTGTCATAAATTATATAATCATATAGACTACCCAGAACAATTAGCAATACTTTAAAAATGTATACTAACTTTGGGAAAACATTTCACAGTATTAATTCTAAAGTTTAATGACTAAATTGGAATCTTTAACTACAGTAGTTTTTTTTTTTTTTTAAAGAACATGCTGCTTGGTAGACTCTATGGGGTATTTTTGAGGACTTAAATATTAATCTTTATTAATAAGGTCTTACTGCTCTATCATTTCTCAGTCTAAGATTTGTGTTCATTTCCAAAACCCAAGTGTTCGGATCCCTGATAAAAATTGGTATCCAGAATTGGAATGCATAGTAACACTTTTTAAAAACTGCCTTTTATAGCTTAGAACACTTTTTTTTAAAGAAAGTTGAGCTTAGAACATCTTTTTTAAAGAAAGTTGAGTTGAGAAATCTATAGGCAGATGTAGTATTTAGTGAAGGAATGAACTAGTCAAATAAAAGTAATACATTCTACCATAATTTGAAAAATTCTAAATTAGAAAAATTGTCATACCTCCAAATTTGACTCCAAACTTCTCAAACTGAAAAGTTACTTTAACGAAATTAAAAAGTTTTTCATCTGTGTTTAGGAAGCTATTGCCTTTGTAATACTTAGAACATACATTTTGGGAAAAGACACTTGGTTGGGGAAGGAATTAGGGTATCAGGCAGCTGAGTAGGTGACCTGGCTTTGACTTGGCTTTAGATCCAGGAATAATTTGTGGCAAACAGATGGTGGCAGTGGTGCCGATGGAAGTTCAAAAAAATGTCTGGGAATTAGGATACTCGAGTTCTAGTCCCGTTTCTGCCACAAACCAGCTATGGACTTAAGCACTTAAAATCACTTTCCAGTTCTTTATCTGTCAGACA